TTCTCCTCACTCAGCCTCCTGAGCAGCTGGGACTACAGGCACCAGCCACCATGCTCGGCTAATTTTTTGTATTTTTAGTAGAGGCAGAGTTTCACCGTGTTAGCCAGGATGGTCTCGATCTCCTGACCTTGTGATCTGCCCACCTCGGCCTCCCGAAGGGCTGGGATTACAGGCGTGAGCTGCCATGTCCAGCAGATATATATACCTTTTAACAGTAATCATGTTTTGTTTTGTTTTGTTTCATTTTGGAGACAGGATCTCCTCTATCACCCACGCTGCAGTGCAGTGGCTTAATCATTGCTCACTGCAGTCTCGAACTTCCAGGCTGAAGCGATCCTCCTGTCTCAGCCTCCTGAGTAACAGATGTGCACCACCACTCCTGGCTGATGGTTTTATATTTATATTTATTTTTGTAGAGAGAGTCTCCCTATGTTGCCTAGGGTGGTCTCCAACTGTGGGCCTCAAGGGATCTTCCTACCTTGGCCTCCCAAAATGCTGGAATTACAGGTAAGCCACCATGCCTGGCCAATAATTACGTTTTATAATATGTCTGTTTAAAAACTGATTCCCAAATCTCTTCAGTAACTTACTCTCCTAAAGTTATACTACATTAAATTAAGTGATGGCTATTCATTGTATATCTAGATCATTTCCCAACAAGATAAAATACTGAAACATATAATTGCTGAACATAAGTTTACCTACTTTTGTCTTCTTATTACAAAGGAACTATAGATATCTGGGTCTGTTAGTAAATACATCCTTTGCCACTTCAAAATTGTACTCTGGGGCAGGGTACAGTGGCTCAGGCCTGCAATCCCAGCACTTTGGGAGACTGTAGCAGGAAGATCACTTGAGGCCAGGAGTTTGAGGCTCCAGTAAGCTATAATCATGTCACTGCACTCCAGCCTGGGTGACAGAGCAAGACCCCGTAGTATTGAGAGATGACAATGTGCTAGTAGCCCTCATTCTCAGCGCCTCCTCGGCCTCCGGCCTCAGCGTCCACTGTGGTGGCACTTGAGGAGCCCTTCAGCCCGCCACGGCACCGTGGGAGCCCCTCTCTGGGCTGGCTGAGGCCGGAGCCTCCTCCCTCTGCTTGCGGGGAGGTGTGGAGGGAGAGGTGCGGGCAGGAACCGGGACTGCGCTCGCGGGCCGGTGTGAGTTCCGGCAGGCGCGGGCTCGGCGAGCCCGGCACACGGAGTGGCCTGCCAGCACCGCCGGCCCAGGGCAGTGAGGGGCTTAGCACCCGGGCCAGCAGCTGCGAGGTAGAGCCGGGTCCCCCAGCAGTGCCAGGCCGCTGGCGCTGCACTCAAATTCTTGTAGGGCCTTAGCTGCCTCCCCGCGGGGCAGGGCTAGGACCTGCAGCCTGCCATGTCTGAGCTCCTCTCCCTGCGGTGGATTCCCGCGCGCAGCCTGAGCCTCCCCCACGGGCGCTGGCCCCTGCTCCGTGGTGCCCGGTCCCCTCGACAGCCCAAGGGCTGAGAAGTGCAGGCGCGGCTCGTGACTAGCAGGCAGCTCCGCCTGCAGCTCTAGTGCAGGATCACCACTGGGTGAAGCCAGTTGGACTCCTGAACTGGATGGGGACTTGGAGAACTTTTATATCTAGCCAGAGGATGGTATGTGCACCAATCAGCACTCTGTATCTAGCTAACCCAGTGGGGACTTGGAGAACTTTTCCGTCTAGTGCTCTGTGTCTAGCTCAAGGATTGTAAACGCACCAATCAGCACTCTGTGTCTACCTCAGGGTTTGTAAATACACCAATCAGTACTATGTGTTTAGCTCAAGGTTTGTAAATACACCAACTGGCATGCTGTATCTAGCTAACCTAGTGAAGACTTGGAGGGCTAGCTAGCACTCTGTGACTCTGTGTCTAGCTCAAGGAGCTAGATGTAAATGCACCAATCAGCACTCTGTGTCTAGCTCAGGGTTTGTGAATACACCAATTGGTACTCTGTATCTAGCTAACTCTGCATCTAGCTAACTAGCACTCTGTGACTCTGTGTCTAGCTCAAGGATTGTAAATGCACCAATCAGCACTCTGTCAAAACAGACCAATCAACTCTCTGTAAAGTGAACCAATGAGCTCTCGGTAAAATGGGCCAATCAGCAAGATGTGGGTGGGGCCAGGTAAGGGAATAAAAGCAGGTTACCAGCGCTAGCCTGCGGCAATGTGATGGGATTTTTGTAGACGCGTTAGATTTCCACTTTTTACAGCAAATGTTGTTGGTCGCTCTTTGGGTTCACACTGCGTTTATGAGCTGTAACGCTATCAAGGTTTCCAGCTTCACTTTTAAAGCCAACCACACCACCAACCCATTGGGAAGAATGAACAAACAACTCCAGTGGTTGGGTCTTTAAGAGCTATAACACTCACCACGAAGGTCTGCAGTTTTCCTCCTGGTGAAAGCAGGCATCTGCCACATCGAAGAAGCTCCAGACACATTTGAACGTCTGAAGGAACAAACTTGGGACACACCATCTTTAAGAACTTAACACTCACCAGGAGGGTCCACGGCTTCATTCTTGAAGTCAGTGAGACCAAGAACCCACCATTTCCAGACACAGTAGTAGTAGTTACTGATGAGGTCAAGGTGGGGAGGATCACTTGGGCCTAGGAGTTTGAGGTTGCAGTGAGCTATGATGGCTCCACTGGGCAGTACACCAAGACCCTGTCCAAATAAAATTATACTATGAGAAAGCACATATTTTCAGAAATAAAATGATGCATTTATAGATTTGTCAATCTGCAGAATGCTGCTGTAACAGTTTGTGACTGCTTACTTCCTATTTTTACTAGAAATTAAGGTTACTAAGGGTTAAGAATTTTAAGTATATGTAGTTAAAACTAGAAATTGTAAGAGAAACTTTGCATGCAAAATACAAAAGAAAAGTAACGCATACTTTTGGTTAAGAAACTTATAAAGCATAAGAATTTTGGGGGGGTAAAGGAAGATACGAATTTTGTCTAGTTTGGAGGTTATTTAAGGTTGTTTCAGAATGAAAGAAGGAAATGGGAGGTGCAAGAGGAAAGGGAAGGCATTGCTCAGTGAGAGCAAAGCTATACCTAGATAGGAGAAATAAGTTCTGGTGTTCTGCACATCAAGGTGACTATAGTTAATACAATGTATTATATATTTCAAGACAACTAAAAAACGCTTTTTTTTTTTTTGTGGACATGAAGTCTCACTCTGTTGACCAGGCTAGAGTGCAGTGGTGTGATCTGTGCTCACTGCAACTTCTGCCTCCCAGGTTCAAGCAATTTTTGTGTCTAAGCCTCCTGCATAGCTGGGATTTCAGGCACACGCCACCATGTCCAGGGAGGTAGGGGTGTGTGTGTGTGTAGTAGAGAAGGGGTTTTGCCATGTTAGCCAGACTGGTCTTGAACTCCTGACCTCAAGTGATCCAGCCCACCTCCTCCTCCCAAAGTACTGGGATTACCCATGCGAGCCATCGTGCCTACTCTAGAATTTCTTTTTAGAGACAGGGTTTTGCTATGTTGGTCGGGCTAGATTTGAACTTCTGGGTTTAGGCAATCCTCCTGCCTCAGTTTCCCAGGTAACTGAGACTATAGGCATGTAGCACTATGCCTGGCTAGAAGAGAGGATTTGAAATATCTACTGGGTATGGTGGATCATGCCTGTAATTCCAGCACTTTGAGAGGCCGAGGCGGGAGGATCACTTGGGCTCAGGAGTTCAAGACCAGCCTGGGTAACATGACCAAACATGTCTCTACTGAAAATACAAAAATTAGCTGGCGTAGTGGCATGCATCTGTAGTGGCTACTGGGGAGGCTGAGGTGGAAGGATCAGCTGAACCCAGGAGGCTGAGGCTGTAGTGAGCCATGATCATGCCACTGCACTCCAGCCTGGGTGACAGAGTGAGACCGTGTCTCAATAAATAAATAAAAATTTTAAAAAGTAAATACTGTCACTACAAAAAAATAAATATTTGAGGAGATATATAAGCCAATTATTCTGATCTGATTATTCCATAATGTATACATGTATTGAAGTATTACTTTGTATCCCATAAATATAAACAATTATCAATGAAAATTAAAAAACCTGAATGGATATAGAACATTGGGAGAAAGAATTTTGTATAGTCAAATTGACTAAAATTGAATGAATTTATTTAAAAGGTTTTACAAATTAGCCTTAATGTAAAAAAATACACTTATGCAAAACTAGAATTTGGGTTTGGTGGCTCATGCCTGTAATCTCATCCATTTGGGAAGCTGGGCAGGAGGATCAACTGAGGCCAGAAGTTCCAGACCAGCCCTGAGCAACATAGTGAGAACTTGTCTCTACAAAAAAAAAAAAAAAAATTGACTGGGCATGCATGCACCTGTAGTTCCAGCTACTGGGGAGACTGAAATGGGAGGATGGCTTGGGTCCTAGTCTCCCTGTCCCGGCCACTCTGAGCATGCCTGGTGTTCAGGTGTGTGTGTGGGCTGTAGACTTACTGCTTCTGAGGTTTAGGCAAGCGGGTCTCTCATATTGTCCTGTTCCAGTTACTCCTTCCAGTTACTCCCACTTACTGAGGCTACAGCGCAGAGGACTGGAGCACAAAAGAGTCAACATTCTTAAGGAAACACAATTAGAAAGTGCAGCCTGGGCTGGGCGTGGTGGCTCAGGCCTATAATCCCAGCACTTTGAGAGATCGAAGCAGGTGGATCACTTGAGCTCGGGTGTTCGAGACCAGCCTGACCAACATGGTGAAACTCCGTCTCTACTAAAAATACAAAAAAATTAGCCTGGCATGATGGCACACTCCTATAATCCCAGCTACTTGGGAGGCTGAGGTAGGAGAATGGCTTGAACCCAGGAGGCAGAGGTTGCAGTGAGCCGAGATCCCGCCATTGCACTCTAGCCTGAGCAAAAAGAGCAAAACTCCATCTCAAAAAAAAAAAAAAAAAAAAAAGTGCAATCTGGGTTCCAACTCCGCAGGAAATCCTGCATATGTTCCCTGCCCTCTCCTCCCCCTAGACTGGAAGTGGGGGCCAGCCCAGCTGCCCGCTCCCCTCAGTATACCAGGTGCTAGAACACAGCTGTTTCTTCCTCGTTCCCCAACCCAGGCAGGCTGTAATTGGTGGGGCAGAGCAGGGCGGGGCTACCCCCGTGTTGAATCCACTGGGGCTATCTCCACTCCAGGCAAATCCAGCCAGAGACTGATTCTGAGCAGCAGTTCTGCCTGGTGAGAGCTGCCATGGATTGGTGGAGATAGGGGACTGGGAGGTCAGGAAGTGTCAGGTCCGGGTGGATCAGGAGCCCCAAAAGAAAAATTAGAATTGCCTGGAGAAGAACTCCTGCTAGACTGAGGGAGAAGGGTTAGGGAATTCCAGGGGCATGGAGGCTGTGGAAGAGGAGGGGGTGACTAGAGGAAGGGAGAGGCCAGGGAGCAATAGGAATGCCTGGAGCTGGAAATGGCAAGCTGTACGTTTTGGTTTACTCTTTCCTTGGTGCAGTCTCCCTGTCTGTGCTATGGTGAGAACTTTCCTGCCTTAGCTGCCTTGCCAAGAGAAAGGGCTTCATGAAAGCAAAAACGACCTGCAAATTGAGGTCAGGAGCAGGAAGGTGTAAACTGAAGGGAGAGGGACCTCCTGCCCACCCCATGTCCTTGCCAGGTGAGGTGGAAGCAGGACATGCAAGCCTAAAGTCTGTGTTGTCTTCCCAGGCACTGATTCACTGGCCCTGCCATGCCCGCGCCACTGTTCCCACTGCTGCTTCGGTTGCTGCTGTCCCGTCTGCTGCTGCCTGTCACCCGCCTGGCCCGCCAGTACCTCCTGCCCCTGCTGCGCCGATTGGCCCGCCGCCTGGGCTCCCAGGACATGCGAGAGGCTTTGCTGGGCTGTCTGCTGTTCATTCTCAGCCAGCGACACTCGCCAGACGCTGGGGAGGCCTCAAGAGTGGACCGCCTGGAGAGGAGGGAGAGGTTAGGCCCCCAGAAGTGAGGCCACGAGTCCTGGCAGCAGCTGAATCCACAAAATGCTTTCTTCTGGAGTAGGATAATCCTGGCACCAGCACTGACCGAAGCCTGCCCAGTGGACAGAAGATATAGTGAGGGTTGTGCATGAGATGGATCTGCCACAGACATGCCTCTCCACTCCCAACAGAAATGTCTTTCTGGAAGAATGCCTTGCATCTAGCATGAAATCGATCATTGCCCCTCTGTCCTCCAGGAGTTCCTCCCAAAGACCACTCCTAATCACCTCTGGCCTCAGGTGGGAGGGGAACTAACACCCACCCACCCCTGCCGTCCCTGCAAATGAGAACATCAAGGTTCCCAATGCTTAACTGAGGGACAAGTGACAATTTAGCAGAGAGGAAAGATTTGAATCCAGACTGTCTTCCAGACTCAGGACCTACCTTAAAATAATATCTGAGTTCCCTATGGAGGCAGACCTGCCTGCACAGCCCAGCACTCAGCAAGTGCTCAATAAATATTTGATTTGAATTATTTCCATGCCTTTGAAAGTCTAATCACCCAGACTGTTGCCCTGCAAAACAGTTTAACCTGGCCTGGCAGCTGGTGGGGGTGGGGGAGAGGAGAGATGGACAATTGTACAAGGGTTTATTTTGCTACCTATTCCATTGTGGTTTCAGTCCTCACAGCCTGGACGTTGTTTCCCCCTGCTTAGTTTCGGTCAGTATGTCACACTGTGACCCAGAAATGGCTTGAGTCTAGGAGGAAGTTTGCCTGGCTAGCGAACAGTAGGGAGGAAAATGTCCTCCAGCGAGTTTGAGGACTTCTCAGCTAGTGGTGGTGAGAAGAGGGGTGATACGTTTGCTAAGAGACTGGGTGGGAGGCCACCCAGGGAGGCAGTGCAGAAATCCATCCCCTTGAGGGTCATCCCACCCTTGAAGAGACTAGGGGTGGGTGACTGGCCTTAAGAACTGACTTCATCATTTCCTTCTCCCTAGTGGGAGGCCCCTGAGGGGTCAAATAAGAGTTAGACCCAGAAGAGTCAATCAACATGCTTAAGGAAACAGAAAGTACAGTCTGGGCTGGGCGCTGTGGCTCACGCCTGTAATCCCAGCACTTTGGGAGGCCTAGGCAGGCAGATCACCTGAGGTTGGGAGTTCGAGACCTGCCTGACCACCATAGAGAAACCCCGTCTCTAGTAAAAATACAAAATTAGCTGGGCGTAGTGGCGTATGCCTGTAATCCCAGCTCCTCCAGAGGCTGAGGCAGGAGAATCGCTTGAGTCTGGGAGGCGGAGGTTGCAGTGAGCCGAGATCGCCCCATTGCACTCCAGCCTGGACAACAAGAGCGAAACTCCGTCTTAAGGAAAAAAAAAAAAAAAGATACATTTGCATCCCAGCCTCCGGATAATTTGTTTATTGTTTCCAGGCAATAATCCTCTCTCTCTGGGTGAATGTTGGGCTCTATCTAGGTTCAGAGGATAGTGAGGAGTACAGGACCCTGTCGGGATTCCAGTCGCCTCTCCACACCAGTCAGAAGGCTTGGTTGGGGAAGAAGTGAGCCCTGAGCTGTGTGCCCCACTCCCAGCCCTGCGGGGCTTTCTGCCAGCCGCACGCCGTCCCTCCCCACCACCCCATCGGCTTCCTTCGGGAGTCTTCAAAGCCAGTGCACGTGCTCCCAGGTCTCAGGGAGGCGACCTAGGGGGAGGGGTAGAGAGAAGGGAGTCCGAGACCCTGGGCCCCTAACCCCGTCCCTTTCCGAAGCCTCAGGTGCCCAAAGGCGCCGGCAGCCAGTCAGGCCCGACGGGCCCCTCCCACTGAGTCGGCTCTGCTTTCCCCGCCCCCGAGCCGTGAGGACTGGACAGAGCCGGCTGCGGAGCTCTGGGCGGGCGCTGGGGTCGCCTGTTGCAGCCTCTCTTCCGCCCGGCGGCCCGCACCGGTCAAGCCCGGCGCGGGCGGCGCTCTCCAGCCGTGGCTATGGCCCCAGCCCCGAGGTGAGGAGGGAGAGAACTAGGGGCCCGCAGGCCTGGGAATTTCCGTCCCCCGCAAGTCCGGATGCCCGCTCCACAGTCTCAGCAGGTGCGCTGGGCGGGGCCGGGGGATCTGGGGGTGGGGGCGAGGTCTGCGCTGTTCCCACGCTGCCCGGTGGGACAGGGGGCCAGTAGGGGAACCTGCTGGGCTACAGCGTCTTAGGGGAGTCTGAATCTTTGGTTTCTGGATGCGGGGCCACTTTTCTGGGACTTCAACGGCCGTTATTAGATGACTGCCTCCCCAAACTCCCCAACCACTTACAGATGCCCCAGGAACATAGGGTAGGGGGAAGAGGTGTGGAAAATTAGGCTAGAAGACCAGCCCAGACCTAGCTGAACAAAGAATTAAGTCTTCTTGAACCCCGAGCCAGTACCCGCACCTGTCTTTACTTAAAAATTTTTGATGTTTTATTCACCATGGAGTCTTTAAAAACAAAACAAAAACAAAAACCGAGTCTCGCTCTGTTGTTCAGGCTGGAGGGCAGTGGTGTGATCACAGCTTACTGCAGCCTCGACCTCATGGACTCAAGTCATCCTCCAGACATCCTCCCACCTCAGCCTCCCAAAGTGCCGGGACCACAGGCATGTGTCAACATGCTTGGCTAGTTTGTTTGTTTTTTTTTTTTTTAAAGAGATAGAGTCTCCCTACTATGCCCAGGCTGGTCTTGAACTCCTAAGCTCAAGTGATTCTTCTACCTTGGCCTCCCAAAGTGCTGGGATGACAGTGTGAGCCACTGCACTTGGCATCATGGAATCTTGATTTGTAGACATTGCATTAAAACTTATTTTGGTAAGGGCCGGGCGTGGTGGCTCATGCCTGTAATCCCAGTGCTTTGGGAGGCTGAGGCGGGCAGATCACAAGGTCAGGAGTTCGAGACCAGCCTGATCAATGTGGTGAAACCCTGTCTCTACTTAAAAAAAAAAAAAAAAAACAATTAGCTGGGCATGGTGGCACACGCCTGTAATCCCAGCTACTCAGGAGGCTGAGGCAGAAGAATCTTTTGAACCCAGGAGGTGGAGGTTGCAGTGAGCTGAGATCACACCACTGCACTCCAGCCTGGGTGACAGAGTGAGAGACTCTGTCTCAAAGGAAAAAACAAAAAAAGCAAAAAAAAAACTTATTTTGGTTACATTAAAATTTATCTTTTTTTTTTTTTTTTTGACAAGGTCTTGCTCTGTTGCCCAGGCTGGAGTGCAATGGCAGGATGATGGCTCACTGCAGCCTCGATCTCCTGGGCTCTAGTGAACCTCCCGCCTCAGCCTCTGGAGTAGCTGGAACCACAGGCTCGAGCCACCATGCCTGGCTAATTTATTTTAATTTTTTTGTAGAGATGGGGTCTCACTATGTTGCCCAGGCTGGTCTTGAACTCCTGGGCTCAAGTGATCCACCTCGGCCTCCCAGAGTGCTGAGATTTCAGGCATGAGCCACTGCTCTTGGCCTAAAATTTATCTTGATTAATGAGGTTTTTGGCTCCCCCTTACATTTTACACCCCTGGCAAGTGCCTTACTGGCCTCTCCCTAGTCCCAGCCCTGTCACAAGGCCATGGAGATATAGTCACAAACACAACTGAGAACATAGACAGTCATGAGACATGTGCTGGTTACCAACCCCCAGGCCAAACAAACACACTTTCAGCAAACATAGATGACTTGTTGGTGACAGCTGAGAGGACACAGGCCTGGGGAGAGAGAGGACTGTGTGTGAGGTGGTAAGTCATGCTTGGGGCCTGCCAAGTGGGGGAGGGAGTCTGGGGCAAGCCACCGTCCCATATAGGGTGGTGGATAAGGTGGAGAGTAGGGGTGCAGCAGGACCAACCCTTCCCACCCCACCCCTTCGACAGGGACCTGAGGGAGCTCGGGGAGGGAGAGAGGCCAGAAGACCAGGCAGAGACTGAAGAGAGCTGGCAAGGTTTGGCTAGAAAAACTCCAGGCAAGGCCTGTGTGAGTTGGGGCTCCCCAGGCTGTCCAGCAGGGGGCCCTGGCACCCAGCAACCTCCTCTGCTTGGGAGGTGGCTACAGAGGGGTGTGGGTGCTGGCTAGGGGCCCAGCAGGATGGATGCCAGATGGACTTCTCTCCAACAATAACAGCACTGGCTGTTGCCGTCCGCCTAGCCAGCAGGGCCCCAGCGCGGGTGGGGAGAGGAACCAGCCTTCCCCAGTCTGGCCTGAGACCCTCACCACTTCCCTCCAGTTTTCTTCCACCTCCAGTCCCCTTTGTACACAATTGCAGCCACTGGCCACCAGCCTTGCCATGCCTGGCAGATCTTCTGACCACTAGCCCTGCCACCCCCACAGACCCAGAGACCAGGAAAGGAGGGTGGGGAGCGAGGAAGGGGGCCAAGGCAGAGGGGAGAGGAGGGCTCGGAGAGGAAGAGAGAGAGACTGGACAAACATGAGGGTGGGAATTAGGGGGTTGTGGACAGACATGAAGCCACTCTCAAGTCACGGAGCAGTGCCTAGAAAAACACCACCCAAACCCATCTTCCTGCCCTCTGGTTAGGGCTGGCGGGGATGTGGGGGATGGGTGGGGTGGGTGAGGGTTGGGAAGGGATATGTGTGTCATCTCTGTGGGGCATGGAAACACAAGGCTGGGGACACCCATTCTGGAGTAGCTTGGGGAGAGCCACTGACCCTAAGTAGAAAAGCCACCTCTCTCCTTAGGGCCCTGTCTGTTTCTCTGGGGACAGGATAGGACTACCTTATCCCTATGATGTGAGGTACTGCCAATTGTTAATCAGTGTCTGTGGCTTCTCTAGGGGACAAGCCCTTCGGGTCAGTGGGCATGGGGTGAGCAGCGTGGGTTGGATTTTCTCCTCAGGACCTTTCCAGCCTTAGGATCACGCTCTAGCACTGAGTGCTGCTGGAAGGGCAGGGAGTGCACCCCACCCCACCCCATTTATTGCTCAACCAAAGAGAGGGCCTCCCTCCCCCTCCCTTGGAGGGACTTGCTGGACCACCCCTCAGCACGCCCACACCTTCCTCCTCAGCTAGTGGAGGACGTGATCAGCAAGGCTTCCGCCTCTCAGGACGGCTGGGACAATAGGATTCACTCAGGATGTCAGGCTGTTCCTGGCTTTTTCTCTTCCCATTCCCAGCTGTGCCTCAGTTTTCCAAAGTGCTGGATTTAGAAAGGGTGAATTATGAGGGAGTTGGAGGGTTGTACCCCTGTCCCCCTCCGCGCGCACACACAAGCACAGGCAGAGGCACATACCCCCTCCAAGTCAAAGTTGTGGGTGGTGTGGTGTTTGCGCGTCTGTGGCTGGGACTGGATGTGTCAGGGATGGGGAAACCATCATGCTGGTCACAGAAAATGGGAGGTGGGGACAGAAGCAGTTTTGAAGGAAAATAAGAGGGGGACTGAAAGAAAGAAGGGGGCGTTGAAAGGGAGGGCGCTGGGAGGAAAAAGGTGCAGTGTGGAGGAAGCGCGGCGTGGGCGGGGCTGGGGAAGAGATAACGGAACATCTGAGGTGGAGTGGGCCGTAGGGCGTCGGGGCCGTTCTGAGTAGCGGGTGTGTAAATGGAACAGTCCCGAGATAGATTTTATGGGAGTCTGCTCAGGTCCTTAATGTGTGGCTGTACCCTCCAGCCCCATGTGCCCCACACGAAGGACAACCTTGGTGTGGCAGGGCCCAAAGAGGTCCTGTCTACCGAAATAACACCACCAGGCGGCCCTGGGGGCGCAGGGGCTCGGTGTGGGGACCGCAGAGCGCGCGGAGTCGCCGTGGGGTGGCGGGGCGGGCCGGGGGCGGGGCCGCGGGCTCGCGGGTGTAGGGAGGGAGGTGGCAGTGGGCTCAGGGCGGGGCGGGCCCAGCAGAGGGCGGGTTTGAATGTGCCCCGGCGGGCGCGGGAAGCTGCAGGAAGAGCGCGCGGTTCTCAGCGCGGGAGCACTGCTTCTCAGGCAGGTGCTGCCCGGGGCCGGGGACTGGGGACCGCCAGGGCAGAAGACGCCGCTGCCCGCTTGCCACGGAGGGCAGGGAGGCCGGGTCTGACGGCTCCGCAGCCCGGAGAAGGATCGCCGGGTGGGGCCCCAGTGCGGAGCGTGCGGAGACGCGCAGCACGTGGCGCGCACGGGCCAGGGAGCCAGAGGATCCTGCCGGGACCGGGACCCGAGCTGGGCTGGACAGCTTGTCTCCCGGGCCTGAAAAAGACTGCGGTCACGTTGACCTCCGTAAGGGGCAGGCGAGTGGACGGGTGATCCCGATCGATCTGGTCGGTAACAGGGAGGGGCCGTGCCGCCGACTGCGCTGGCGGAGGGGAATGGGGATGGGGATGGAGGCTCGCGAGCGGAGGTGCGGGGCTGTCTCTTTAACCTGGGTCTTTTACTGGCTAAAGTCGTATCCCTGGCGTCTCCTTCCAGCGCACGTCCTCATTTACTGGTTTACTGTCAGAGTGTATGAGAGGGCGAAGACACACACTCCTCGGCTTTGCTTACCAGGAGAGAGCAGTCGTAGGTCAAGGCTGGCTCCAACCCTGCCCTCACACCTCTAGGGGTCTCTCTCCAGCCCCGTTGTCGTCCTTTTGCCTACTCCTCTCGGTGGCCTCCAGACCCTTCAACTTTCCTCCTGCTTGTGTTAGCTCCCCATGCCAGGATGTGTGTGATGGGGCGGGGCTGAGGTGCCTGACACTCAAGTCAGGCTGGGAATGATCTTGGTCTCCACCTCATTTTTCCCTTTAGTTGGATCAGAGTTCCCCCCCACCTCCCAGTCTACAGGGCTAGCTGAGAAGCAGCTTTTATACCTCTCTCCATTCCAAAAGGAGCTTGAACATTTAATTTGGATTCTAGCTCCTCCACTCACCAGCTCTGTGACCTCAGGCAAGTTACTCAACCTCTCTGAACTTCAGCTGGCCCAATCTATTCAGTGCTAGTACTAGCTTATGGGTGGTTGTGAGGAAAAGACGAGAGATCTGCAGATAGTGGCTGGCCCCATATGAGATCCTGGGAGTGGAGAATTGCAGGAGAGGTGTTGGGAGTCTGGAGGCAGGGAGGTACTCAATTTGGTGGCTGCTTTCAGGGGCCCACCTCAGCAGGCCAAGGCATAGTTGGAGGGACACCAGATGCTCTGAGCTGGTATCAGATCCCTGTTTGCTGCTGGGCAAAGGCAGACGAGCAAAACACGAAGGCTGGCCAGCTGAATGTTAGGATATGGGCAGGAGGAGAGGGCTGCCCGTGGTGGAGTTGAATTGTGCCCAAGACTGGAATGGGAACTCCTGAGAACAGAGAGAGCAGGGGTGTAGCTGGGGGATAGGGAAGAAATAAATACTTCTTCTCTAAGCCCAAGCCAGTTTTACCCAGGAAAACAGGAGCTATTCTCCCCACCCCAGGCCTCCATCTGCTTTGAAGTTGCACCTGCCCTTTACTTCCAGGAATCTTGCCTGTGGGGTGGAGTACAGGGTATGCGGGTATGAGGTAAGAACCTAAAGGAAGAGTCCTTACTACCGAATAGAAAACCTGAGACCTAGGCAGGGTGCGGTGGCTCATGCCTGTAATCCCAGCCACTTTGGGAAGCCAAGGTGGGTGAATCACCTGAGGTCGGGAGTTCCAAACCAGCCTGGTCAACATGGTGAAACCCCGTCTCTACTAAAAATACAGAAATCAGCCAGGCGTGGTGGCAGGAGCCTGTATTCCCAGCTACTCAGGAGGCTGAGGCAGGAGAATCACTTGAACCTGGGAGGCAGAATTTGCAGTGAGCCAAGATTGTGCCATTGCACTCCAACCTGGGCAACAGGAGCAAAAACTCCATCTCAAAAAAAGGAAAAAGAAAACCTGAGACCTGAGCCTTTCCCCCACCCCCACCCCCACCCCAGTAATGCCCTCTTGCCTTCATCTCCCTAGAAAATGTATTTTTTTTTTTTTTTTTTTGAGACAGAGTCTCGCTGTGTCTCCCAGGCTGGAGTGCAGTGGCGTGATCTCGGCTCACTGCAAGCTCCGCCTCCCGGGTTCACGCCATTCTCCCGCCTCAGCCTCCCAAGTAGCTGAGACTACAGGCGCCCGCCACCACGCCCGGTTAGTTTTTTGTATTTTTAGTAGAGACGGGGTTTCACCATGTTAGCCAGGATAGTCTCGATCTCCTGACCTCGTGATCCACCCGCCTCGGCCTCCCAAAGTGCTGGGATTACAGGCTTGAGCCACCGCGCCCGGCCCCTAGAAAATGTAAATATGGTTATTCACCACTCTGGTGCCTAGGACAGTGCCTGGCTAGCATGCAGAGGTCCTCAGTAAATATTTGTTGAAGGGGTGATTGCAGGAATCCTTCTGCCTCCATCTGGAGGTGTGGGCTGAGGGGCCGAGGAGGACCTCGGAGAGCTTGGAGTTTCCCCAGCGAGGGTTGAGAGGAGCTACAGGGAACTGGGAGAGCCCATAGAATGTCTCATGGTGCCCAGCTGCTACTGTTTGTCTGAGTGGGCCCTGGAGCAATGCTGCACCTGTGAGAGCTCCCCTGCTGAGACTCCCTGTTCTCTTATCTCCCAAGCGACAGGGGTGGCTTTTTATCTCCTGGGTGTGCTTCTGCTTCTTTGCTTGCAAGCCTTCTCAGAATGGGGCCCCAGGAAGCCTGAGGGACTCTCTCCTGATATGCCCTGTGCCACCTTTTTCATTCTGGATCCGCACCCAGGAGCCCGTGGACAAGGCCCATTGCCTGAGCCTGAACTAGGAGCACCTCCTAGGGACTGCCCAGGCTCGCTCTGCTCTGACCCTTCCACTGGCCAGTCTGGGCACCTGGTAAGTGCCCAGAAAGGGAGGGAGGGGAAGCTGTCCTTTCACCCCAAACAGCAAGGCCTGGGCCCAGCTAGGCCTGAGTGTGGGGGATGTGTCAGTGCACATCTGCCTGGCTTAACATGCCATCCAATGGGAAAAGTGTTGAATCGGGTGGTGCCGGGGGTCTTCCCCTACACAAATAGGGAGCAGGAGAGGGACGCTGAGGGAGAAGGATAGGAGCTTTGGGATCCACACCTCCAATCTTCTTTACAAGGTCACTCTCAGAAAGGGGAAGAGGACAGGAGCCTGTGACAGAGGAACTAAGGGAGGACTAGGTGACCCTAGGGTCAGGAGGTGGGAGGAGGAAGGGCTGTACCCCCACATCCATTATGAAATATTTTCCTGGAAAACCAGCCAGCAACTAGGAAGCTCCTGGGCAGTGGCTGGAAAGAAAGCCCCACTCTAGCCATGAATCCAGGGGCTTCCCAGGGAGGGTGGAGAGACCAGACTTGTGGAGAGGGGCCTGGGGAGCCTCTGGTTTGGCCTCAGCCATCATCGCCGTTGTCTCAGCTGCTGCAGATCTGCCTGCTCTGTGTCCTTCCTCCTCCTCCTCCCCCGACCTCTTTGCTGTGTCTCCTCCATTTGTCTCCCTCCTTCCCTTGTCATCACTGTCCCTGACCCCTCTCGTCCTCTTCCCTGCCTTCTTTGACTGTCTTTCCCTCCCTCCCATCATCTTTCCTCCTCCTTCCCTCCTGCTCTCCACCCTCCTGTTTCCCAGCTTATAAACTGCTTCGGCTGCTGGATAAAAATAGCGGTGGCAGCGGCCAGGCCGGGAGCCAGGTAGAGTCTGAGCAGGCAGGGGGGCCGTGCAGGACTGGCCTGCTGGGCCAGGGGGCTGGGTGGGGGTCAAGTTGAGTGGTCCTGAGGGCAGGGTACAGAGGGGGTCTTAGTGGACCTCCTCGACTGGCCTGTTTTGTCAGCCCTGCCCCCTCTCCCCCTAAGAGCCTGAGGAGGCCTGTGGCAGGGCCAAGACAGGGCCTTACACTGTTCCTGCCCCCAGCAGGCCCCTGAGGGAGGGAGCTGTCAGCCAGGCAAAACCGAGAACATCATCGCCATGACAACCAGTCACCAGCCTCAGGACAGGTAAGGGGTAGGGGGCTGGGCTGTGGATCCAGGGAATGGGTTTTCAGGGATCTGGGTGCGGTGTCCTTTGGAATTGGGGGTTGCCACTGCTGGCTGGCCTTCTAGCCAGGTAGCTATGAGTCAGGTCTGCATCAGGGGCGGAGACCCCTTGTGCCTTGGCTGGGTGCTGGCTGGGGGGTCTGCGGGAAGGGCAGGGTGCGTGGGCAGCAGTCCCTCCCTGGCGTGTCTGTGTTTCCACTGTTGCTTTCCAGTCAGCGGCTTCTGGCTCCTCCCGCCACCACTGTGGGGAGATACTTGCCTCACCCCTCCTTCCAATGCACATCTGGCAGAACTGCCCTTGGGCCTCTGCCTTAGATGACCTGGCCCACCCTGGTTCTTGATCTGATCTTCTCAATTCCCCGCCTCTGGAGCCTGTGAATTCCCAATCAAGTTAGACTTGCAGTTATGACTGTGAATATGTATTTTGGAAGAAGAGGCTGTAGCTTAATTCAATTTCTTAAAGGGATCTGGGACCCAAGAAGGCTGAGGAAGTGATGCCTGAGATCCAAAGCTCCTTCAAAGCATCAGGCTCTGTCCTTCCCTCCAGCTGAGGCCCCAGAAACCCATCACGTCTGCCCTACCCATCTCATCTCCCTCCTGTGCCAAAGGCTATGAAACTAGGCCACTTGTGCCTGTGGGAGCTTTGAGCATGTAGCTTAATGTCTCTGGGACTGTTTTCCAACCTGTAAAATAGAACTAAAAGTATCTACTTCCCAGGAAGTGGATCTAGAAGTAAGGGAATTTAAGGAGGCATGGCAGTAAGTCCAGGCCCCAGGGTGCTTCCCTGCCTCCTGTGTTTCATTCCCAGGCTGCCTGCCCAGTCTATCCCCACCTCTGCTCTCCTGTGGGCAGTTCCCTGAAGCCCTCGCTGTCTCCATTTGCCTCATTGCACAGCTCAGTCATTTCACAGCGCCCCCTGCCCCGATCCTCTCTCCTTTGTGACTTCGGGAGTTTTTCCTTCCACTCTGGGCCTCCGAACCAAGCCTTTAGCTTCTCCAAGGGAAGCGTGTATATGAGGGGGTTGGGGGACTGCAGTTGCATTAACTTAGACGTGCTCACGTGGGGCACTCACCACTCCATCCCTGTGTGAGGCCTGCCAGCCGTCCAGGCTCCTGCACTCTGGCCAGGCCTGTCTTCTCACTGCCTTGGGCTTTATCCCTGCCATCTCTGAACAGAGCTGGTGTTGGCTCTGGGGAGGGTGTGCAGACCCAACGGGAGATCTGCATGGGCTGGGCTGGGGTTACTCAGCTTTCAGGCAAGGCCTACCTGGGAGAAGCTGGCCTGACCCGGAAGGGCCTTGAAGTATAGGGCCTGGGGCATTTCCCTGGCCAAAGGAGGGCAGCCCTTATTTATACCCTGAGGCCCAGATGATCTCCAGTGGCCCCATACCTCCTGGCCTGCCCTGGGTGGTATGAACTACAAAGTTCTGTTTGGCCAGGAAGAAAACAGCTCTAAGGCCCTCTCTTCACAGCGGCCCTGAGGCACCCCGCCCGCCTGCCCCTGTAGGTTCAGAATAGTATGGGAGTTTCTCAACCTCAGAATCCTCTCTGGGGAGCAACACAGTCCCTGACCAGACAGCATAATTACTTCCAGCCTGCCTGGTGGGGGTGGAAGACACTTGCTGCTTGCTTTCTCACTCATCCACCCGCCCTCAGCCCTTCGGCAGGATTTCTAAAACCATCTCCGGATGTGTGGGTCACACTGGTTCCCAGCCTGCAGAGTCCCCCAGGCCTTCCAGGACTGATAACTATGGTCCTGTCAGCCATGCCATTCAGTCCTATGACCCTGACCCCCTCCCCACCCCGAATTCCAACAAGCCGTGTACCCTTTTCTCCCCCCACACCCGTAAGAGGACACATGCAAATGGACACAAACACAGATGCCCTGGGACCTAGAGAGACTGAGGATGGACAGGGGCTTCCCTGGGGCTCATCGTGGAATGGGGCAGGATGGTGCGTCACTTGGCCCCTCTTTCCTCCTCCATTGCAGATACAAAGCTGTCTGGCTTATCTTCTTCATGCTGGGTCTGGGAACGCTGCTCCCATGGAATTTTTTCATGACGGCCACTCAGGTGAGGCCAGAGGGACTGGGCTCCATGGGGCATTGCCCACTGTGCCTGCAGGATGTGACTCTGTGCTGGTAGGCACAGGGAGAGAGATTTCAACACTCCTCTCTGCAACTCCTGCAGTATTTCACAAACCGCCTGGACATGTCCCAGAATGTGTCCTTGGTCACTGCTGAACTGAGCAAGGACGCCCAGGCGTCAGCCGCCCCTGCAGCACCCTTGCCTGAGCGGAACTCTCTCAGTGTCATCTTCAACAATGTCATGACCCTATGTGCCATGCTGCCCCTGCTGTTATTCACCTACCTCAACTCCTTCCTGCATCAGAGGTGAGTGCCCACCCCCTCCCCAGCCCCCAGCCTGACCCTCACTGTGTCTTGCACCCCCTTGGCTGAGCCCCAGCTTTGCCCACTTGTTTCTGCCACCCTTGGCCTCTCCCGGCAGGATCCCTCAGTCCATACGGATCCTGGGCAGCCTGGTGGCCATCCTGCTGGTGTTTCTGATCACTGCCATCCTGGTGAAGGTGCAGCTGGATGCTCTGCCCTTCTTTGTCATCACCATGATCAAGATCGTACTCATTAACTGTAAGCTGGGCCAGGAGGGGGCCTGTGGGAGGAGGGGTGCCCAACTACTCCCACTCTTTTTTCAGACCCACTGTTAGCCAGAGAGAAGCCCAGCCTCTGCCTGAAGGGAGTGGATGCTGTGAGCAGTTGGGATTCAGAGGCCTGAGTGGGCCTGGACCAGGGCTGGGAGGGGGCAGAGAGAAGGGCAGCTCAGCCTCAAGGCCCACCGAGAGTAAAGTAGGAATCACAGGGACCTGTCTTCTTGGGCACCCCCAACCGCCAACCCTAGCTCCCCTGCTCATGCCCACCCTGTTTCCCCAGCGTTTGGTGCCATCCTGCAGGGCAGCCTGTTTGGTCTGGCTGGCCTCCTGCCTGCCAGCTACACGGCCCCCATCATGAGTGGCCAGGGCCTAGCAGGCTTCTTTGCCTCCGTGGCCATGATCTGCGCTATTGCCAGTAAGTCCGGCTGTCTACCTGCCCAGTGCCCTGGTGTGGTGGGGAGAAGGGATGGGGCCTATCTCTGATCACTGACACCACCCCAGGTGGCTCGGAGCTATCAGAAAGTGCCTTTGGCTACTTTATCACAGCCTGTGCTGTTATCATTTTGACCATCATCTGTTACCTGGGCCTGCCCCGCCTGGTGAGTAAATGGAGGGGGCTGGGGTTTGGGGTATACAGGTCTGGGGTGTTCTAAGGACAAAACCTGAAGGAGGCTGGGATTCTGGAGATTCTGCCTGTGAATCCACCTCCCCCGTCTCCCTTACTTGATAGGAATTCTACCGCTACTACCAGCAGCTCAAGCTCGAAGGACCCGGGGAGCAGGAGACCAAGTTGGACCTCATTAGCAAAGGTCTGAAGAGACTGAGGAAGCTGGGGTGGAGGATGGTATACCAGGCTGGGGAGAGCACGAGCAAAGAGAACAAAGATGAGTGCACTGTGTTAGCTAGCAGCCCTGAGCCAGAGGAGGACCGAAGGACTGGGGTGGGGAGAGGAAGACAATAGGAAATAAGGGCCGGCAATTATAAAATGGGGGCAGATCCTGGATGACCTTGAACGCCTGAGGTGTTTGGACTAAAGGCAGTGGGAAGCAATTTCAGATTCCTCAGTGAGGAATAACATGACCTGAGGCTCCTGGGAGAGGCCAGGCCCCCGGGACTTGAGCTGTAGGGATTTGGAGGCGAGGTCTGGTTTAGGGTTAGGGTGCGGCTGGGACTGGTTTGGGACTGGTTAAGGAGGCGTCTACTTTCTAGTGATCCCAGCCCTTTTGGGGAATGTTTGTGTTGTCTTCTGTTGCTCTGTCCTCCCCACAACTTGGAGATTCTTCCACCCCGCAGGAGAGGAGCCAAGAGCAGGCAAAGAGGAGTCTGGAGTTTCAGTTTCCAACTCTCAGCCCACCAACGAAAGCCACTCTATCAAAGCCATCCTGAAAAATGTATGTAGGGAAGGTTATCCTACCTTCTACCTCTTGTCCTCTCTCTCCTCCTTTTGCTCCCTCCCTCTGCCACCCATCTCCTCCCTTTCTGACCTGAGAGTGGTCACTCCTGGATTCTTTTTTTTTTTTTTTTTTTTTTTTTTTGAGACAGAGTCTCGCTCTGTCACCCAGGCTGGAGTGCAGTGGCCGGATCTCAGCTCACTGCAAGCTCTGCCTCCCGGGTTTACGCCATTCTCCTGCCTCAGCCTCCCGAGTAGCTGGGACTACAGGCGCCTGCCACCTCGCCCGGCTAATTTTTTGTATTTTTTAGTAGAGACGGGGTTTCACCGTGTTAGCCAGGATGGTCTTGATCTCCTGACCTCGTGATCTGCCCGTCTCGGCCTCCCAAAGTGCTGGGATTACAGGCTTGAGCCACCGCGTCCGGCTCTTCCTGGATTATTTTGTGTGTGCGTGTGTGCCCCCCATGTGTGCATGCCAGGGGTGGGGTTCGTGGTTCCTTTTTTTTTTTTTTTTTCTGAGACAGAGTTTCATTCTTGTTGCCCAGGCAGGAGTGCAATGGCACAATCTCCACTCACTGTAACCTCTATCTCCTGAGTTCAAGTGATTCTCCTGCCTCAGCCTCCCAAGTTGCTGAGATTACAGGCATATGCCACCATACGCAGCTAATTTTTTGTATTTAGTAGAGACGGGGTTTCACCAGGTCAAGCTGGTGTCAAACTCCTGACCTCAGGTGATCTACCCACCTTGGCCTCCCGAAGTGCTGGGATTACAGGCGTGAGCCACCGTGTCCGGCCCGGATCCGTGGTTCTTTAATGCACAGCCACCATGAAGACACAGGCACCTGGGTGACTCTACCCTTTCTATCTAGATCTCAGTCCTGGCTTTCTCTGTCTGCTTCATCTTCACTATCACCATTGGGATGTTTCCAGCCGTGACTGTTGAGGTCAAGTCCAGCATTGCAGGCAGCAGCACCTGGGGTGAGGAGGCCACAGGTTCCCAGGATGGGAACAGACAGGATCTTGAGCTGGGCTGGAAGTAGGGAAGAGAGGGAGCCTGGGTCACCTTCTCCCCATTTCCTGGGTCCATTTGCCCTTCCCTGGGCTGGAAGCATCTTCTCCATTTTGCTGTTGGGGAAGCTGAGGCCCAGTGAAGGTTAGGCTTGCTATACCTGCCTCTGTGAGCCTGATAACCACCCATTCGTCTCCTCTTCCAGAACGTTACTTCATTCCTGTGTCCTGTTTCTTGACTTTCAATATCTTTGACTGGTTGGGCCGGAGCCTCACAGCTGTATTCATGTGGGTAAGTGGAGGAAGAGGGCCCCAGGCCCCTGTGGGAAGTAAGAGTCCAGCCTGGACCCAGAGAGGGAACCCAAGAAAGTATGGTAGTAAGGGGACCATTTGTTTTAAAGTCGAGGCATAATTTATGTATAGTTAAGTACAAGTCTTAAGTGTACAATTTAATGAATATATATATATATGCATACCTGCCCAGATCGAGATATAGAATATTTCCAGCATTCCAGAAGGTTCCACCATGCCCCTTTCAAGAGTAACCCCCTAAGGCGAACCAGGCTTTGAGGTTTCAGTTCAGGTCCTGAGAGGCCCCAGATGGATCCTTGGGGGCCTGGTTGTGCCCTGGGGTGGTGGCCTGGGCTGAGGCCCTGCCTGGTGCCCACAGCCCGGGAAGGACAGCCGCTGGCTGCCAAGCCTGGTGCTGGCCCGGCTGGTGTTTGTGCCGCTGCTGCTGCTGTGCAACATCAAGCCCCGCCACTACCTGACTGTGGTCTTCGAGCACGATGCCTGGTTCATCTTCTTCATGGCCGCCTTTGCCTTCTCCAACGGCTACCTCGCCAGCCTCTGCATGTGCTTCGGGCCCAAGTGAGTAGGGCTGGCAGGGAACTTGGTGGCATCAGACAGGATCTAGAGTTCCAGTAGGGGACACTCAGTAGAGGGAGGGCAAAAGGAGAGTCCCTGCTCCCAGAGCTGAAAGGAGAGATGGCTCAGGAGGGGCTCCTAGGCTGAGGGGATAGTGACTGTAGTGGAGGTGGGTGTCCAGGCTTACTTGGGTGTAGGTGGAGACGGGCTCGCAGGAAAGAGTGAAAGACAACCCCACCATACACATTCCCTCAAGGAGGAGAAGCCAGGTTGGGGTTAGGCAGCTAGGATGGGTTGATCAGCAGAATGAGGTTCGACAGTCATGTCACCCCACCCCACCCCTCCTTCCAGCCAGAGGCTCTGGGCTGGGGTACAGCCATTCTGAGGTAGCCGTGCCCTTCCTTCCCCACTTAGGAAAGTGAAGCCGGCTGAGGCGGAGACCGCAGGAGCCATCATGGCCTTCTTCCTGTGTCTGGGTCTGGCACTGGGGGCTGTTTTCTCCTTCCTGTTCCGGGCGATTGTGTGACAAAGGATGGATGGACAGAAGGACTGCCTGCCTCCCTCCCTGTCTGCCTTCTGCCCTTCCTTCTGCCAGGCGTGAGCCTCACTGGTCTGGAGGTTTTTCTTCTAACTGACTTCTGCTTTTCACGGCGTGTGCTGGGCCCAGATCTCCAGGCCCTGGAGAGGGAGCCTTTGGACAGACAGTGGGGACATTGTGGGCTTGGGGCTCAGAGTGGAGGGACGGGGTGTAGCCTCGGCATCTGCTTGAGTTTCTCCACTCTTGGCTCTGACTGATCCCTGCTCGTGCAGGCCAGCGGAGGCTCTTGGGCTTGGAGAACACGTGTGTCTCTGTGTGTGTGTCTGTGTGTCTGTGTCAGTGTCTGCCAGACTGTCCGCCTGTCCCGGGGTGGCTAGGAGCTGGGTCTGACCGTTGTATGGTTTGACCTGATATACCCCCTCCTTCCGTTCTCCTCTGCGCCGCCTCCTCTGTGTTCTCTCCATGTCCCCCTCCCAGCTCCCCATGCCCAGTTCCTACCCATCATGTACCCTGTACAGTTGCCACGTTACTGCCTTTTTAAAAAATATATTTGACAGAAACCAGGTGCCTTCAGAGGCTCTCTGATTCAAATAAAGCTTTCTTGTTTTTTTCTCCTTGGCTCCCTGTGTCCTCCAGCCGTGGCTTCATGCCCTGGAGTGGGTAGAGGGCTGGCAGCCTGAGTCCGGGAGATGAGCATGACCCAGCTGGGCCCTGGCCAGGACTGGACCTGGGTCCAAGGGCCCGAGGGTGGGGAGGGGGGGTGGGTAGTCCTCCTGGCCTCAGAGGGGCTGCAATGCCCCCTGCTGGGGCCATAGGGGAGGGACAGGCCTAGAACCAGAACACCAAGACTATTAGCCAAGACAGAGAGAACAGGTTTTTCTTTGCTTCATAGGACAGAGGATGGAGATAGCTCCCCATCTTTCCTTTGTCTTCACTGCCACCCCCTCCACTCTGTCCCCAGCCCCAGCAATGAACTCTGCAAAACTGGCCAGCTCCTGGCCGCACTCCCACACCACCAGGCAGGAAGAGGCTGAGGCCTGAGGGTTCTCCCCTACCTGGCAACCAGCCCTGACATCAAAGCTCAGCCTGCCAGACTTCCTGGGGAACAAGGGGCCTGTGTGTCCACACAGTGAAACCAACCCTCCCCTTCTCAACCCAAACTCTGGCCTAGGGAGGAGTGGATTGATATGGAACTATGAGAGTGTCTCAGTGGAGAGGGCCCTGCCACTGGGACTCCCATCTCAAGAATGACCTCCTGACTGGAAGTGGGACCAGAGCTCTGGCCACAGTGCAGCACCCCTGCAATTTGCACCCCCTACCCTCCCACGAGTCTCAGACTCCTCCCAGAAAGCAGGAGACATTCCTGAATTCTGAGTGCGGGCTGCTCACTCAGCCCCGGCCGGCGGATGGCTACAGAGTTGGCACCTTTGTCAGTCCTTCCTTTCTCACTGGAGTTTAATTTAATTGAGAACTTCAGGCCTCATTAAGGGCTGTTAGCACATTTTTAAGGCTCTTTGATGAGCTCTGAAGCCCTAATGGAGTAGCTAAGTATACCAGGGCACTGGGAACTGAAGTTCATATGCTATTAATCATTTGTCAGACCAGAGTATTTATCTGAGGTGCTGGAAAACAAGGCATTCCTTTTGGATCAGGTTCAAAAGCTGAGGGGTTCCCTGAGTATCCTTCCCCCAGTCTGCAGTGCTGTTTGGCAGTAAGTCAAGCTGAACGTACAAACCTGAGCTCTTTCTTGTCCTCAGTCCTCTCATTGTACCCAAGCCCCAAAGAGCCCTATGGGTTTCCTTCCTCAGCACCAGCAGTGCCTCAGAATTCTGTATTTCTTCCTAAGGTTGCTTCACCACCTCCTGCCTGACCCATTGGGACTTCCAGGTCTCTTCCAGTCCATTCCACACATGGCCACAAGAATAATCTGAAAGCGAATCTAGCAGGTGCTGCTTGCTCTCTGGAGCATGCGTCTGTGTCCTGAGTGTTTTCTGATCCTCCACCACCGACAGCCAGTTTGTGCAATTTCTTTGCACCTCAGAGCTTTCATAATGTTGTGACTTCTATCTTGTTCTTATCTTACTCCAGCTACCACTGTCATGTTTTTGAGCTTAGGGTGTACTTTTTACTCCTATTTTGGCTTTTCAAGCTATGTCATACCTGCCTCCCAGAGGTACTTGGAAAATGTTGGCTTGATGGCACGTGCCTTATCCCAAGGCAGAATTCATCTCCACAGTCCTCACATGCCCCACTCCAGCCATGTGGTAGCAGGCCTTGCTTGTGACCCTGGGATAGAGGTGGGGATGCTAAGTAGGTTCCTCTCAACCCCAGCACTGATTTGAAAGGAAAAACTAGGATACAGTTCCTTTCTCCCTTCCTGTACTTAAATTGATGTTGAAGGAAATTACTAGAGTATTTTCTCCCCAAAATTTTAAAACACAAATGCTAAAAAATGTCAGTCTCTTCCATTCTCCTGACCTCAGTGTTTTCACAGGTAAACCTGGAGGGGGTGAGGAGGTTAGGAAAAGCAGCTCCTAGGCCTCCTGCCCACTCAGCTGCAGGGATGGCTCCCGACCCCAAGTGGGTGCTCGCAGGCCCTACCCTTTGGGGAGCAGGGGTCTCTTCTGGGTCCTCCACCTTCCTGCTAGCACCTTGCTGCCTGTAAAGTAGAGAGGGCTGAGCATGAAAATCCACCAGATATCCCTGGCTGCCCTGACTTGCTGCTGGTCATCACCTTCCTTCCATGTCACGTTTCTGCTCAAAACAGTCAATATTTCAACTGCTGTCCCTGGAGTGGTTGCCATTGCAACACAGGAATGTCCCTCTTATTTAATCTTTTATGATGAAATGTTGGGGCTTTAAACAGTTGAAAAGCTAAGAGCCGTAGTAATCAACCATCCTGGAAAATAGAAATGAAGCCTTAGGTATAATCCATGAGTCAGAATGTATCTGTTTATCTATTCTTTGAGGTGAATATGGAAATACCATGGTGGAGGCAATATAAAGCCAGGGCTGGGAAAGCGTTTGACAAAAGAACCCCAGTTAAGTTTTTGTTTTTACTTTTTTTGGTTTTGGGGGGTGGGATGGCATTTCACTCTTGTTGCCCAGACTGGAGTGCAATGGCACAATCTCAGCTCACCGCAACCTCCGCCTCCTAGGTTCAGGCAATTCTCCTGCCTCAGCCTCCCAAGTAGCTGGGATTACAGGCATGCATCACCACGCCTGGCTAATTTTGTATTTTTAGTAGAGATGGGGTTGTACCATGTTGGTCAGCCTTGTCTCAAACTGCCGACCTCAGGTAATCCTCCTGCCTTGGCCTCCGAAAGTGCTGGGATTACAGGCGTGAGCCATCGTGCCTGGCTAAAGTGTTTTTGGTTTTTTTTGAGATGGAGTATTGCTCTGTCACCCAGGCTGGAGTGCAGTAGCATGATCTTGTCCTCGCCAAGATCTACTACAGGCTCCACCTCCTGAGTAGCTGTGATTACAGACACGTACCACCACGTCTGGCTATGTTTTGTATTTTTAGTAGACACGGGGTTTCACCATCTTGGCCAAGCTGGTCTCGAACTCCTGACCTCGTGATCTGCTCACCTCTGCCTCCCAAAGTGCTGGGATTACAGGTGTGACCGCACCCGGCCCCCAGTTAAAGTTTAACTAGAGTTAAACTATGACAGTAATTCAAAATGGATGTAAACAGAAAAATGCAGTCACCTTAAGGAAATAGGCCTGTTTGTCCAGCAAGCCCTGCCTGGAAGCCAAGTCTTCACACACAGGAAGAGTGGCAGTCCGCAGGTCAGCCAGCAGATCTGACTCAGAGGCCAGGTTGTTAGTGTCCCCCCAAACCCTTGGGGACCAACTGTTTCCTGGGCAGGTTGGCACTAAGGGTGGAAATGGGCAGAGCCCAACTCCGCCTGGCCCCAACCTCATCAGTGGCCCTGTGTCCGGCCTGGACTCCTCTGGCTCATCTCAGTATGACCTGGCTTCCTGCGTAGATGCTCCCAGGGAGAGGACGTGCCCACTCAGAGTCTTCTGCATCCTTGGCAGTCCTGGTGCTCGCTGGAAGTGAGCAAGTTGGCGTTCTGGCACCAGACTGCAGGGTGACTGCTAAATGTGAGTCAGCAGGGCGCCACGAAGGCCTCTGTCCTCTCTCCTGGGCTTGCCCCGTACCAGCTGTGATCCCGGATTAGTCACTCCTCCCCTAGGCCCCGCCTCCTCGTCCTTACAAGGATATGACATATGTATTGACTTAAGTAAATTAAGCGTGCGGGAGAGCACGGATGCAGGAGGTGAGGTCCCCAGAGCTACGTGGTGTCATCACTTATCAGGATGAGCCTCAGGACGGCCCTCCCCGCACCGCACGTTCCCCCACCTAGCCTATTCCAGGCTGCTTCCCACCTGCGTTCATTCCCCTCCCCCGTATCTCCAGTCCCCGGAAGCTTCGAGACCCAAGCCTCACTTCCCCTACTCCAGATATTTCCAGCGTGAACTACCACGCGGGTCCCTAAACCCCGCGGACAGCGGAGAACCATGGGGCTGGGGACGGCGAGAGGGGCGACGGGGACCAGGCCCCTGCCCCATCCCGCCGCGAGAAGCGGAGCCGGTGAGGTCACCCGGTCCGCGCGCCCCCTGGCGGGCGCACAGCGCCACTGCTCTGCGCTTCTGCGTCCTGGCGGGTGGGTGACCAGACTGCGTGTCAGACCCACGCCACTGCCCCGTGTCCGGGTGACCTTGAGCCAGGCTTGTTCCGTCGCAGCGCCACTCATCTGTAAGGCAGGGATAGTCACACTTGCCCTGACAACCGCGTGGGTCGTGAAACTTGTTATTCACTGAACTAGTGAATAACAACGTTACTTGGGCCAGCCACCCCTGTACTCACTGTCTTACACGGCCTTATCTGATTTGCCAATAACCCTGTAAAGTGATGACTATTGCTATGCTCATTTTACTCCAGAAAACTGAATCTGAAAGGTTAAAGGATGGAAAAATATTCTGTAAGCTGCAAAGCACTAGGTAAATATATTTCTCTCTCTTCTCTCTCTCTCTTCTCCCCTTACGAGAGTTCCCAGTCAGTGAAGGGAACAGAAAAATACAAGGCATCATGTGGCACCATAATGCAAATGTGGTCCACCTTCCTCCCTTATTTTGGACACAAGACAACTCTTGTCTTCTCTTCTCACGTCCTCGGGGAATCCCAAGAATCCTGGGACATTGACCTCTCATATAATCTCACCCAGGTGAAACCAGCAAAGTCCCTCCTGATGTCTAACCTCAGCCCCTCCTGGGTGTGAGCTCCTCTCCACCCAGCAGCACTATCACAGTCCTACCATTCCATCAGCTGGGTGGGGTGGCAGTGAGGCCAGTGAATGGCCCAGAAATCCAGCCCATTGAAACCTACATGCTGAAAAGGAATGACTTCATTTTGGGACAGGCCAGGTGGCAGGCAAAACAGTTAAGTAGATCAGGGTTGTTTGTGGTGCCACCTGCCCCCTGCACTTTCCACTGGCTATAATCTGCTCTGGGATGAACTGATTTGGGGTTAAGTTTTACCTTCTTAGTCAAAAGGGGCCTGGGACACTGAACAATGCCCAAGACAAAAAGGGATGCCTAGTGGGCATGAT